GGAGTTTGTGTTCCACAATAACAGGGTGGTTCTACATGGAGAATCTTTTGGTGGGCAGGGCTCCAAGGTTGTTAAACAGTGCTTGACTTTTCAGGGGAAGGGAGAGGACTTGGTACCTGGTATCTTACCTGAGCTTCTGGATATGAAAAGCAAAATCCCTATTGCTGTTTGGGATATTTTAGTTCAATTCCATTCAGTTTTTCAGATACCACAAGGGCTGCCACCTTCTAGATGTTATGATCATGCCATACACTTGATAGAAGGATCTCACCCAGTTAATGTGCGCCCTTATAGATATGCTCATCATCAAAAGGGGGAAATTGAGAAGCAAGTTCATGATTTATTGGCTTCTGGTTTTATTAAAGAGGGTAGAAGCCCCTTTTCCTCACCTGTATTATTGGTCAAAAAGCATGACAATTCTTGGAGAATGTGCATTGATTATAGAGCTTTGAACCATATTACCATCCGGGACAGATTTCCCATTCCGACCATAGATGAATTATTAGATGAACTTCGAGGTGCACATGTGTTCACAAAGCTTGACTTAAGGAGTGGTTATCATCAGATTTTACTGGTACCTGAAGATACACCTAAAACTGCCTTTAGGACTCATGAAGGGCATTATGAGTTCTTGGTGATGCCTTTTGGCTTGACCAATGCACCTTCTACCTTCCAGGCGGCAATGAACCACATGTTTAAACCTCATCTTCGCAAGTTCATCATAGTTTTCTTTGATGACATCCTTATTTACAGTGGATCACTTGAGGATCATTATCATCACTTGAGATTGACTCTGAGTTGTTTGCAGGCTAATCTTTTCATGGTCAAGCTGAGTAAGTGTGCTTTTGCATTGGCAGAAGTGGAGTACTTAGGTCACTTGGTGTCAGGTTCTGGTGTTAAGGCTGACCCAAAAAAGATTGCTGCAATGCAGGAGTGGCCACAACCTAAGACACTCAAGCAGTTAAGAGGATTTATTGGTCTCACAGGCTATTATCGTAGGTTCATTAAGCAATATGCTGCTATTGCTTCTCCATTGACTGACATGCTGAAGAAGGAGGCATTTTTTTGGACAGAGGGAGCTGCTCAGGCTTTTGCTTTACTCAAGGCTGCAATGGCCGACACTCCAGTCCTCATTTTACCAGATTTTTCTTCCTCTTTTGTTGTGGAGACGGATGCTTCTGCTATGGGGATAGGTGTTGTACTTCAGCAACAAAATCATCCTATTTCTTTTTTTAGCAAAAAGCTTGGACCAAGGATGAAGGTTGCTTCTACATATGTTAGGGAGTTATATGCCTTAACTGAGGCTGTTAAAAAATGGAGGCACTACTTGCTAGGGTCAAAGTTCATCATTTGTACTGATCATTGAAGCTTGAAGGAGCTCCTCACTCAAACTGTGCAGACTAATGAACAACAGAAATATGCCTATAAGCTCATGGGATATGACTTCACCATTGAGTATAAACCGGGTTCAACTAATGTGGTTGCTGATTCCCTTTCTCGATGCTTTGATGAGGATGATACAGGTTTGCATTTGACTCTTTTGTCTGAAGTCTCCTTCTCCTTGATTGATCAGATTCGAGATGAAAATTTGACTGATTCTGAGTTGAAGGAAATTCGATTGAAGTTGCAAAATAATGAGTTGGTGGAGTCTGGCATTATTGATAGAAATGGCATTTTATATCACAACAATCGATTCCTGCTTGGGACTGGTTCTGCATTGAAGGAAATTCTTCTCCAGGAGGCCCATTCCACCTTGGTAGGTGGCCATGCAGGCATCACCCGGACCTTTCTAAGGCTTTCTGCTTCTTTTTATTGGAAGCACATGAGGAGGGATGTGCAAGAGTTTGTTGCTCAGTGCTCAACTTGTCAACTGATTAAAACCACTACCTCTCCTCCTTTGGGTTTGCTTCAGCCTCTCCCAATTCCTGATGGAGTTTATGAGGACTTGAGTATGGATTTTATAACCGGTTTGCCTAGTTCTAAAGGATTCAGTGTTATACTAGTGGTGGTAGACCGCTTAACCAAGTTTGCACACTTTGGTGCTTTAGCCATTCCTTATTCGGCTACTAAGGTGGCTTCCTTATTTTGTGACATTGTGATCAAGTTGCATGGTTTTCCCAAAACTATTGTATCTGATAGGGATTCAGTTTTTTTAAGTCACTTTTGGACCCAGTTATTCAAACACAGTGGGACTTTGCTGCGTACTAGCACCTCTTATCATCCCCAATCTGATGGACAAACCGAAGTCACTAATCGATACTTAGAGTAGTACCTTCGGGCTTTTTGCCATGAAGAGAACCATAAGTGGGCTTTGTATTTAGGGTGGGCTGAGTACCACTACAATACTGCTGTGCACTCTGCTATTGGTATGACCCCATTTCAGGCATTGTATGGTAAGGTGCCTTTAATGATCCCATCTTATATTCCAGGGTCCGTAAGGGTGGAGGCTGTTGATGCCACCTTAAGCCATCGAGATGCTTTGTTGAGGAGCCTTAAGAGTCATTTGCAAAGTGCTCAAAATAGAATGAAAGTTCAAGCCGATAAGCATAGGAAGGATGTCAGCTTTTCAGTAGGAGATCTGGTTTTGGTAAAATTACAGTCCTATAGACAGCTCACCTTGGCCAAGAGGAGGTGCCAAAAACTCTCTAAGAGGTACTTTGGTCCCTATCCTATTACTCGGGTTTTGAGTCCTGTGGCCTACCAAGTAGGATTGCCTGCCAGTTTCCGTATTCATTCTTCTTTCCACATTTCTGTCCTTAAACCATTCAAGGGAAATAGTTCTACTGTTGTTGTTCCCTTACCCGCACTTACTAAGGAGAATCACCCTGTCCAGGTGCCTTTAGCTGCTGTCATGACTCGGATGCTGCAAGAGGGGCAGGTCGTTCGCAAACAGTGGCTGATACAGTGGACAAGCTCTCCTCCTGAAGATGATACTTGGGAGTATGAGGAGGATCTTCTCAAGTTCTACCCTGAATTTTCGTTGCCACCCATGAACCTTGAGGACAAGGTCCCTTTTGCACCAGGAGGCAATGTTACGTGGGAGAGTCCTAGACTAAAGAGAAGGGCTGGAGCCCCATCTTGGGCCAAGGATTACATTGTGTAATCAGCCCAAGATAGTTCACCATTATATGTTGATTGGTCCTTACTGTGCCATCTGTGTTAGGCATTATCATATTATGCCATCTGTTTAGGCATTTCCTGACCCACATGTATTGGGCCTTTTATCATTTTAAACTTACGTGTTATTTGTTAGAGTCAGTTACAGAGTGTGAAGTAAACGTGTCCTATAGATACGAATTGGGGGAAACTTTTGGTTTATTCATTGAAATATACAGATACTGCGTTGTTCTTTCTTCAATTTCTTTCTCTCTGATCTTCTTATCCTTCGTTGAGATTGCTGAATAGGATTCGCTATCCTATCATCATGCGAACTGAAGAAAAGAAAAACAAAGGAAGACGGAGACACACACTGTCCTATTATAAAAAGAATGTTTACAACAAATATTCAAACAGTGGACAATTTTGTAATTTCATTTCACATTCCTTCATATATTTCACAATCAACCAAGCATACAATTATAAAAATAATTCAACATTCCCAACAAAAATGTTGGCCTACCAAACACCTTTTTGTAAGTTGTCTGGAATAAAAAAAATCATGTCATATTCTCAGTAAATTTTTTTCTTGGTTAAAAAAAATATCTCTTGTACCAAATACCCCATAAATAAAGTAATAAATAGCAACATCACAAAGTGGCACCCTTTAAACCTTAAAACATGGTTTTGGCTAACACAAAAGAAGTGGTGACTGATGGTATCTATTTTTAATATAATTTATTTTCTAAATCTTGAAATCCTATTTTTATGCCATTATATTGTCTCCCACTCCTCGATACTGAATATCACTAAAATAAATAATCCCCTATGCACCAGTTATCATTGAATTGAATAAATACTATTAAAGTGTCATTCAATAATTATTGTCAATAAAAAAAAGTAAGCGAAACCATGATTTGTAACATTATATCATAGGTTAATGAATGAATATTTAAAGAGGGTTGTAACAAAACTCTGAAAACAGAGGTGCACCAGCAAAACGACAGTTATCTTTCTCAGCACCAGCAAACAAGAGCAAATGAAAACAAAAAATAGGAAAATAATATCCAAAAGAGTATCAGCGGATTATGAAGATATGCCTTTGGTTTATAATATGGAGATGTGCCTTTGGTTTATAATATGGAGAAATCAGAAAGAAAGATTGACTCCAAGCCACCAATTGGTTGGAGACGCGCAATGGTGGGCTGTTAGAAATATCAGAGGACATAAATCAGGGAATTTGATTGATTGTAATCATGTATCAAATATAGTCCATAAAGAGGGAAACAAATCATGTGATTTCTTTGATTGTGGGCAAAATAATTTGGCCCAATTATTGTATCATCTATTATTTATATTGAAGGGAACCCCCTCTTGAAAAATCACTTAGAGGGGAGAAACATCATCAGTGTGGACGTAGGCCTACTGGCTGAATCACGATAAATTTCTATGTCATTTTATTCTACATGGTATCAGAGCCTCATGTTCCGGGTTCGATCCTCGCCGCCCCCCACTTTCTTTCAAGTGGAATTTCTTTGTTCGCACAGGTAGGTGGGCCTGTGCATTGTCCACCATTTAAGCTCAGTGGGCTCTCGTGTGAGAGGCGTGTTGAGATATATAAAACCATTAATGTGGCCTCACCCAACAGCTTAAGCTTTTGGGTTGAATTGGTTCTTTACATGTTGAGATATATAAAACTATTAACGTGGCCTCACCCAACAACTTAAGCTTTTGGGTTGAATTAGTTCTTTACACGATCTCAAGAGCGGGTTAAAAATATATACACGTATATATTGTTTTTCCTTACCAGAATTACTTTTTGTTTGAAAAAAGGGGAATATTTTTCAAATCACAAAAACCCATTCCAAATTCAATTCCCGAAATCAACGCCTGCCACCAAATTTTCTTCCTTCCCTATAGTCGACTTTTGTTTACTAAAGCTTATTAACGCCTTGGTCACCGTACAGAGGGGAGAGAAATTCAATAGATCCACATCGACCTGACGTCGCGCTGTCACTTGCCTGGGCACCGATTGTGTGCTGTTCATTCTCTACTGCCCCTATTCGTGTGTTATCTCTACCATTGTGTGTGGTTATTTGTACTTATGGCCCTGCCAGGTTCCTAATTTATTTGGAATTTTTTTCACTTTCTCTCCTTTTGTGTTTTTTTTGTTGGTCTATATTTGGTTTCATGGCTGCTTCCGACAAGACCAATACCTCTGATACCGAACGACTCACCGTCATCCTTCTTAATGGCCGGAATTATATGCCATGGAAGTGCGCTGTCACAGTTGCACTTGGTGGACGATCTAAAGAATCTCATCTGACTAATCGAGCTCCAGCCAAAACAGATGTCTTCTACACGGTTTGGAAAGCATCTGACAATCAAGTACTAACTTGGTTGTTCAACTCAATGGAACCTGATGTTTATGAACTCTTTGCATATTCTGATACTGCCTCGGTGGCACAACACTTCGGGCATGAACACAACGCCTCTCGCATTTTTAAGCTCCAACAAGAAATCCACACGACCCACCAGCTTTCTTTCCAGTCATTCATTGATTACCTTGGCCAATTAAGGAAAAAATGGGATGAGCTTCGACAGTATCGTCCCACAGCAGCGGCAGTGACTGACTATGTGACCCGAGAGGAGCAAGATCGGGTATTTACTCTCCTTGCCGGTATCCGACCAGAATATGAGTCTCTTAAGCGTCAGATTTTCATGACTTCTCCCTTTCCCTCCTTCACATCTGTTTGCAACCTCATTCATCAAGAAGAGACACGTACTCGTGCCATGAGGCCGATGTCCCCCGCTGCCAGTGAACGCATCGACCATTCTGCATACCACTTGCCTGCCCGGGAGATTCTGTTACCCAATGCAGGTACTTCCTCATCCTCTACTTTTATTTCTACACCTACATGTTACATGGGACATTCTGGTCCTAAAGGAAGAGGGAAAAGGCATGGTAGCAACAGATACCACTGTGATCACTGCAACAAAGATGGTCACTCCCGTGAACGATGTTGGCTACTGCACCCACACTTAAAAAAGGAGCACATTATTGGTGCAAATAGTATTATATCACAACCATCTTCAGTAGAATTACTTGGTGATCTCCAATCTACATTGGGAAAACTTGTTGTTCATCTACAAAAATACCTTAACCTTGGCACCACTGGAAAATCTTCTGATGCTAGTCACCTCGTCCATGGTTGTATGTCCTCTGCACTTACTATTTTTTTCCTAGATCCTTTATTATCGATTCAGGTGCTACAGAGCATATGTGTAATGATTCCTCCTTACTATGTGATATATCTGATACTAATCACATTGCTTCTATAACTGTTGCAAATGGAAATAAAGTCCCGGTTATGGGTTTGGAAAAAATTAATTTATTTGACAGACAATCAGATACATTGTTTGTTCCATCTTTATCTGCTAATTTACTATCAGTTGCTAAACTTACACAAGATCTACATTGCAATGTTATATTTTCTGCAAAAAGGGTGATATTTCAGGACACTCGCACCGGGAGGAAGATTGGTGAAGGTCCTTGTCAGAATGGTCTCTACCTGCTTCCCACGTCAACTATGGGCCTTTCAGCTGCTTGTATGGCGGGGGAATCCCAACTATGGCACTGGCGCATGGGTCACCCCTCTGATAAGATTTTGAACCATGTTGATTCTAAATTTATTCTTGATTCCAGCACTTGTGATACATGTCATTTTTCTAAAGTTTATAGATTGCCCTTTGGTAGTAGTGATCATGTTTCTTCTGCTAGTTTTAAACTTGTTCACTCTGATGTATGGGGGCCTGCCCCGGTTGACTCTTGTGATGGTTTTCGATGGTTTATTACTTTTATTGATGACAAATCTCGTTGCATGTGGCTTTACTTATTGCATGAGTATTGAAATTTTACGTTGTGACAATGGTACCAAATATGTTAATCACTCCATGCAGACGTTTCTCAAATTCATGGAATTGTTCATCAGTTATCCTGTGTTGGTACCCTCAGCAAAATGGCATTGCCGAGAGAAAGAATCGACATCTACTAGAGGTCACTCGGTCCCTGCTTTTTCATGGCAATATCCCCTCTAATTTTTTGTCCTATGCAGTACTCACAAGTTGTTACCTCATCAACTGCACACCCAACAAACAACTTCAGTACAAATCTCCATTGGCAGTACTCTATGGTCGAGATATTAATCTCTCTAATCTACGAGTCTTTGGTTGTGTGTGCTTTGTTCACCTGCAAAATACCAACAAACTCGAGCCTCGTGCCACTAAGTGCATTTTCTTAGGGTACTCGCCTATCAAAAAGGGCTACAAAGTGTTATGACTTTGTTAGCAGGAAGTTATATATTTCTCGCAATGTTTATTTCGATGAAAAGTCCATGTGCTTCTCTTCCAGGGATAAAAATCAGGGGGAGATTGGAATCATAACTCAACTTGATTTTTCTCCCAGGCCAACTTCTTGTGAAATAACAGATATAGTTGATGCAATACCACCAACAAATATGGCACCAACCGTTGTCCCACCAGAAAATAAGGTAATTGATGAAGTACCACTAGCAGATGTTGTACCAGATGTAGCACCACCCCTTCTTGATTTTCCTGAAGATGAGATATCCACCTCTAATACACCTATAATGCAAGATCAGTCCGTGCGTAGGTCCACCAGAACCATTAGACCATCAACCAAATTAAAGGACTACGTCTCTATGGTTGTCACTTACCCTATTCAAGACTATGTTTGTCTTGACCATGTTTCTAATGGACATAAGGCTTTGCCGACTGCCATTGACAAGCATCATGAACCTGCCACCTTTGAAGAAGCAAAGCTAATTCCAGAATGGTAAGCTGCTATGAATGATGAACTTGGTGCTCTTGATAAAATTCACACTTGGGAAATAGTTTCTCTTCCCAAAGGAAAACACATTGTTGGTTGCAAGTGGACTTATAAAATCAAATATCAAAGTGATGGGTCCATTGAGCGACACAAAGCTCGGCTTGTTGCTAAAGAGTACACTCAGACTTATGGTGTAGATTACACAGAGACCTTTGCATCGGTAGCAAAGATGAACACTGTGAGGGTCCTTATGTTAGTTGTTGTCAATCACGGATGGCCACTCTTCCAAATGGATGTTAAAAATGCCTTCTTGCATGGAGAACTTAAAGAAGAGGTCTATATGGATCTACCTCCAGGTCATCTTCGTGAATCTCAACCTGGTAAGGTGTGCAAACTAAAATGAGCAATATATGGCCTAAAGCAATCTCCTCGTGCTTGGTATGGAAAGTTGAGCAAGGCACTCACTGCATTTGGGTTCTTCAAAAGTAAGTCAGATTATACCTTATTTGTCAAACACTGGGCTGGAAATACCATTGTGGTCCTTATTTATGTAGATGATATAGTTATTTCCGGGAATAATATGATCGAGATAGATAAATTGAAGAAACATCTCAATATGACATTTGACATTAAAGACTTGGGCGTTTGAAGTATTTCCTCGGTATTAAAATTGTTGAATCTAATAAAGGCTTATTCATCTCACAAGGGAAATATGTTTTGGATCTCTTGAAGGAGACTGGTAAGTTGGCATCCAAACTGGTCGATACTCCTATGGAATATAAAGGTAAATTTGAAAATGACTCCATTCCTCTATCTGACCCAAGACAATTTCAGAGACTTATTGGCAAACTAATATATCTCACCATAACCAGACCAGATATCTCTTATCCGGTGAGCTACGTTAGTCAATTCCTACACAAACCAACACAAGATCACATGAATCTTGCATATTGAATACTTAATTACTTGAAGTCATGTCCAGGAAAAGGCATATGTTAAAAAAGAATAGCCACACTGATATTATTGGGTATGCTGATGCTGATTGGGCTGGTAGCCCTTACGACAGACAATCTACCTCAGGTTTCTGCACCTTTGTGGGAGGCAACCTTGTTACTTGGAAAAGTAAAAAAAAAAGAGTGTAGTAGCTCGTTCTAGTGCAGAAGCTGAATATCGTGCTATGGCCTCAGCCACTAGTGAACTTATTTGGCTCAAAGATCTCCTGTACGACCTCACCTTGAAGAAAATGGAGTTCCCTATTACGTTGTACTGTGATAACCAAGCAGCCATTCATATCGCATCCAATCCTGTGTTTCACGAGAGAACTAAACACATTGAAGTGGATTGCCATTTTATTCAAGAAAAAGTTCAAGCTAAGATAATTGAGACACCATATATTCGAAGTGAAGATCAACTTGCAGACATGTTCACAAAGGCTCTTCCTAAAGGCTTCTTTCAAAACATCATTACCAAGCTGGGCTTGATTGATATCTTCGCCTCAACGTGGAGGGGGAATGTTAGAAATATCAGAGGAGATAAATCAGGGGATTTGATTGATTGTAATCATGTATCAAATATAGTCCATAAAGAGGGAAACAAATCATGTGATTTCTTTGATTGTGGGCAAAATAATTTGGACCAATTATTGTATCATCTATTATTTATATTGAAGGGAACCCCCCTCCTGAAAAATCACTGAGAGGGGAGAAACATCACCAATGTGGACGTAGGCCTACTGGCCAAACCACGATAAATTTTCGTGTCTTTTTATTCTACATGGGCGAAGGGGAGAATACAACAATCGGAATCTTACGGCAATCAATAAAATTACTTCAAGTTTTTTAAAAGAAGAGAAAAAAAAATATCTCTAGTGCATGTCCATTCAAAATTAGAAATCAACAACGATTTTTTTGTCCCCAATTCATTTTTCTTCTTCCTTCTATCGTCCTATTATAGTATTCTAAAATATAAAGAAAATAACCAAATGATGGTAGTTTAGTTGACGCATGGGAGCTGAGCAGGTGGGGGTGAGAGCATGTGTTCGATCCTCCCCAGTACCACCTTTGGGAGGGATTTAAAGCCTTAATCCTGGACCCACCCCGAATCGGACTAGTCGCGAAACGATGAACCGATTGGAATTGGAATATTTCTAAAAAAAAATACATAAAGAAAATTTTTCTCATATAGAATACAAGCTCTCTCTATGTAAAAAATGACTTCCCAACCTCTCTTCTTTTCCATCCTCACACTCTTGTTGAGCCTCCTTGGTATTTATAGGGAGAGATCTCAGGAGATTTCTTCGTATAAGGGTTTGCTACGCCTCTGCTTTCTTCAAATGGCCAAGTTGTTGAGGCGGTGAATGTAGATGGCAGGTTTGCAATGCGGCTCTTCACTAAATGATGTGATCTGAAGCACCTGCATGCGAAATAGGTTGGAGAAGTGTGAGGCATTGTAGCTTTGAATAGAGGAGACCACATGTTGTAAGGCGTGACTTGGAAAGGATGAAGAGAAAGAGGCTAGGATTTTATTTTTATTTTTAACAACGTAAAGATGCTGAGTTGGGTCATGAGTTGGAGCATGGGTTGAGTCATAAATTTCCGAGTTGAGTTGCACTTGAATTGGGCCTTTTGTTTTTTCTTTTTTCATGCACTATTATTTCCTCTATCTTTTTTTTTCTTTTCTTTTTTTCATATAAAACAAAAATAAATAATAGCAATAATAACAATATGTTCCAAAATAAAGGATTCACATTTTATTTATTTTATTTATATTTATATTATTTTATGTGTGAGGACAAAATTGAGTGGTTACAACATTGGGTACATTATTTTAACTCTGAAGTAAATATATTTTATATACGTGTATGTATTCCTTCTAGCACATGGCAACATGGAGATGAAGGCTTAATTAAACGCTTAAGTCTCAAATATCATTCTGGATAGCATCCTCCACTCTGCTTTTGACGTTCCCAGCCACAAAGTCGAGGTTGTATAGTATAAGTACCATTGCCATTGAAGCTAAGAAAGCTAGCACAGGCCCAAAGATCCAAAGTATAAGTGAAAGTGCTGAATAGAAAAGCCTGTTCCCCACTATATTCAATGTTGTGGCCCTCTCCAAAAGCCCAGTTAAATATTCTGGGGTCACCATGGACTTGACATCTTGTGGAGTGCAAATGAGGATACTCACTTGACTGAGAAACCTGATAGATAGAGTGTGACATAGAAATGATAATGAGAATGTGGCAAGCAATGTGGCATATTTCAATGCCACCACATATTCCCCATGTGCTCCAAAAATTGAGTCGTTGACTGCATTTTTAACACTGTAGGTGCTGCTTATAACTGCTCCTAGGCCAGCACAAATGAGAATGGATTTTGTTGCCATAAGCGTTGACCCCATTATTAAGTTCCGAAGAGATTGGACTACTAATATGTTCGTCTTTTCAATATCCTGCAATTTCGGTTCATATTTGGTAAGTAATATGCTTAAATAACAGATGAGAGATTTTTGCTTCCGCGCTGATATTGGGACTCCATCCCAATATATCTGAATGCATACAGTACAATTAATACATGTACAATCGTTGATATTTTTTTTCCAACTAATTCATTGGAGATATAGCTAGTATGAATTGAATACTCTTATACTCGTATAAGAGTCCATTTAGCTGGACTTTTTTTTAGCCAAAATTGCTTTTTATAGAAAAATAAATAAATAAATAAAACAATTTCTACTACAAAGTGCGTTTAGATCTTTGTTTTAAAAAAATAAAAAAACATACATAACAAAAATAGACAAAAATTTACTCTCTTTTTTAAGTTAAAAATTTTAGCTTCTAAAAAATAGAAATTAAAAGTCAAATATTGATTTCAAAAACCAAATTAAAAAAAAAATTATACTTTAGCCTTTCTAAAAAGAATTTCCAAAATAAATAAGACATAATTTTTTTTCCTTTTTACATGTCCATCCAAATGGGCCCTAAGATGCGACTTTATCAAGATTTAGTGGTATCTCCTAAACCAATAGTTGTTGTCAATGTTGTTAAAATCGAGATCTTAACTAAGATCGGAAGGTGATTAAAAAATCGTAAAACGTAAAATCGTAATGTAAAAAAATCTTAGAAACGTAAAAGCGTTTGAAATAATAGTAAAATCGTTTTAATGAAAAAAAATCGTAAAATTATATAATCGCAGTGATAAATCGAGATTTTAACAACAATGGTTATTGTTGATTAAGATTTTTAAATACAAGAGCAAAGTTGTTGTACGGATGTAGGATTTCTTAAATCAATTTGGTTGCTGTTCAACAAGTACTTAAGTGAACAAGACCACATCCCATATCTAACAAAACCGAAGGGGAAAACAAAAACTCGTAAAATATTGGGAATATATAGATACTTATAAACTATATATACGAGCATACCTTCATCATGGTAGGAATCCAAAATTGCCGACCATTAGCGTCTATTCCAAAGATTGTGGTGAAGGGTTGTGTCCGACTCTTATGCCATAACCATACATGATATGCAAGTATGATCACTAACCCCAATGGCACAAGCATCAGATCCATATAATATTTTCTCCACTCCATTTATAACTCTCTCTTACAATGCACACAGCTCTTTGGTGTGTGTTCGTGTGTGTATATATGTATATATATAGAGATATCCTACTGGCTACTTTGATATATACTTATAACCCAATTATGGACTCATGTATATGTCGAAAAAAGATCTTTTCAAAAAGAAATAATAAAAATCATTAGGTACATTATCCGGAAGATGTTTTAATTCGGGTTTCAATGACGCCATATATAAAATACTGGGAGCGTACACTTGCGTCTACCAAAATTCCGTATTTCATTACATTATCTTCATCTCTGTTTTGCATTAATCGTTACCGTTTTGTTTCGTTTCGTTTGGTCGAAGGTGATATAGTGTGGCTGGCATATGCGACGAATGTCATGTAATCATTATGATGTCATGCTATAGGGTTTTCTCTTCCAATTCAATAAGCAAATGCCACTTAAAACCAATAGCAGTCTTGGCTTAATAATGAATGTGAGCATATAATATAATATATATATATATATATATATAGGTAATTTATTGATTCAATCACATATAGGTTCGAGTATTAAAATTGTTTAGGTAAATTTCTAAGGGACCACCGCAAGCTCCTCCACTGCGCCGCATCGTTGAACGCATAACGCTGCCGAGCTTCATCTCTACCGTGAGTACACTACCAGACGCCATAACAACCCCTCTGCTTCACAAGCGTAAGCTCCCCTGCATTTACAAATTAGTTTTTCTTTTTCTTTTTTTTTTGGTCTAAGTTATTTTTCATTGTCACAAATGGGCCAATTGTTTTCTGGTCCAATACTGACAATTGGTCCAGTAGTAACTCAAACGGCCCATTCATATTCCATGACTACAGATCTGTTACTGTTTATTTGATTTCATGTTACTTTTAAATGGGCTCATTGGGTTGCTGGGTCCAAATATTGAAATAGGTCAATTAGGAGTATTCATCAACCGATTTAAACGGCAGTAACCGAACCGAAAAATCGATAACCGAATAAATCGAAAATCGAAAAATTGAAAACAAAAAAAAAATCGCAAATTTTAATTGGATTGGATCGGTTTTCGGATTGGTAGATGAAAACCGATCCAATATATTAATTTTCCTCTACCTACTTGGGTCTTTCCCCAATCATAGTCCAAAATTTTTTAAACCCAAAACTCATTAATCCATAAAGTAAACCCAAGAAAAAACCTAGTCATATCTCATTAACAAAATTTTATCTATATAGAGCTTCATATCTCATTGTCCAAAAAAATAATAATTACAAAGCCAATATATATAAAAGATGTTATTTGCATAATAATCATGAAATAAATTTTAAGATTTTCAAAAAACCGAAAACCGATCCATTCCAAACCGAAAAAAATTGGATCGGATCGGATTTGAAAAAAAAATCCAAACCGAATGAATGATTACATGATCAAATCGAAGGGATTTGATCGGATGATTTTTGCTTCCAAAATCGATCCAATCCAGACCGCGAACACCCCTAAGGTCAACTAATCAATTTTGTGGTTAGACTTAGAAGTCTTCCTTTTTTTCAAAATTAATAGGATAAGAAGAAATAACAAAACTGATTAGAATAAGGGAAATCATTCTCTCGTTTTATATGAGAGAGTTATCTTATATCACTCTCAATCGAAAATAGTGCCATCATTTTATTTTATTTTAATGGGTGATAGGCCCCGCCATATCATGTGTTTATAATAGGAGATACTTATCTCCAATAACATAAGAAAATTGAACCCCTTAGAATAAAGCAAAAACAAGTATACAATATAAAAAAAAAAATCAAAAAAGGTAAAAAACAAAAATAACTCAATATGTACATGCTCCTTATTATTCGTTTGCCTTTAGATCGTTTGTTGTTACTTTGTATTTTGTATTTGATTTTCTTTTTGTTGATGGGATAAGTTATTTTACCTACCATTTTTTCTACCTACATTTGCCTATCATCCTCCAATAATGTTAGATCAAAATCTTAAGAAGAAAGAGAAAGATAATTGTTAGTTAAGATTCTGATCTTATGGTGTTTTAGAGTGGTAGACAAAGGTAGACAGAAAAAATGGTAAGTAGAATAACTTATTCCTTTGTTGATATAATATAATTAAAAAGTTTTAATATTACAAAAAAAAAAATATCACTACAAATGTTTAAGTATTTTGTCGAGGTTAAGTTTGCAAATTGTGGAGGTCTTTGACCCCCACTACATATATTTGTGGCATTTATAGAGAACGCCAATTTTGCATGCGCCACAACATGATTACTGGTGTTTTGTGTCCAACGCCACAATTTATTAAAACTTTTCCTGGAAGTTACAGACCTCCACAATATGTTACACTTGAGTTCATTAATCTTCACAATATATTTGTCTTTCTGTCGGTCAACAACCTCCACAATATATTTCACTTCTTGGAGGCTGTAGACCGCCAGAATTTATTAACTACATTTTGTGGGGGCTTTGGATTCCCAATAAGTGATATTTGAAAGTTTAACATAGGCTTAGGAGTGGGCCTTATCATTGATTTGTTAGCCAATTAACATGTGATGTCTCTGAATATATAATTTAAAGAATCAGGGCAATTTAATGTGCAAAATTAGAATTTTATGAGAATCATCTATTCAAGTCACATTGATCCAATAATTAATTCAATAACCCAAAACGAAAGGAAAAAAAATAAAAAATCAAGCCACACCAAATATAGAACACTAACTTTATTTAAATAGATAATTTAACTTTCGAGATATATTCGTAATATTACAAGAAACCACACTCAATTCCTAATATTACAAAGTCTCTCATTTTTTTGAGACCATGGCCAAGCCTGGCTGTTGTTTTTGTTAAGCCATCAACATCTAGTGCTGCTGCTTTCTTCACATTCTCAAGTTCAATACTCAAACGTGAAACAACTTGAAGACCAAGTTCACGAGAGTGGTCTTCTGATTCATGAGTTATGTCTTCAAGAAGGTCATCTGTTTTAAAGGGACATCAAGGATTACATGATTAAAAAAATTAAGGAAATATATTTGAAATCTATGTTCCTAGGTAGATCAAAGGGAGAAACAGAGACATAAACATGCGGGCATGGGCACACACACGTGGACACACAAATTTGTTAGTGAATTTTTGTTTGACAACGGATTTGAATATCCAATAGCAACTCCATTTTTAACTCATCACCGCAAACGTATCAAAACATATATAGAAATTAAAACAAGATGAAGCCAAAAAAAAATACTCTTAACAATCTCACTTGGAACTTACACATCTATTAAAATATAGTGCTAGAATAGTAAATAAACATCGTAGGTTGGTTTAAGTTACAAAGCTTACATGGTGATAGATATAGCAAAGGCATTCTGACATGAATCTTAGGTTCGTGGCTTCACCCCATATTAGAAGATACAGACCCATATATAGTAATTTACGCTGCCTGCACTTCCAGTTGTATCGTTGGCAACCTCCAATATGCATCCATGAGATATGTTGCATGAGAAGCTGAAATATACATATAATTCTTAGGAAAAGCTAGATAACAAGAGTTAAAAGAAGCTACAAATAAGAGTCCAGATTCAGAATTAAAAGTCACAACTAAATTTAAGAGCCCATATACTCATTTAACATCATGGATTAAACTGTACGACTAAAATAGAAAAACAAGTTTAAAATGTATCTAGTCCCCGTATATAGTACAAAAGCTCCCAGTCAACAAAAGAGAAGTTATAAAATCTTTCGACATTATGAGAACAGAAACTCTACGGCATGTTATTAAGCTTTATGGCATATTATAAAAACAAAATTTATCAATCATCAAAAGAACTGAAGGGGAAAAAAAGCGATCATACCTGAATTACAAGAGTCCACTGACCCCTCTTCCTTAGGATTTTTAAAGCTTTAACCGCTGCAATCAATCGGAAATCTGTTTCCCAAGTTGTCCATTTGTCTAATGCCCCATAAACAGCCTTTTCACATTAGGAAGTTCAGACACCTGCCATTGCAAAGATTCACAATACAAACCAACTAAATAAATAAAAAGGTCTCCTCTTGTTTCATTAAATTATTTTCTTAGTGCTTAAGAAATGGTTCATTTCATACCAGATTCTAAACAAAAATAAAATAGGTAGGTAAACATACAGTTCTAACAAGAGTAAGTGCATTTTGGCTAGACTGAGCCAAATCTCTTCTTTTCCACAAGTGGTGTTTTTTCTTTCCCTCTCCTTTCTTCCCTTTTTCTGCATTCCAGATTATTCACACAACCAATCATGCATTAGAAGATGAAGCACAGAGCAACTTCACGAAGAAAACAAAAATGGAATCAACAACCTACTTATCCTTCTCTGTTGGGCTCAATTTGGATTGAACAAACATGCAATTGATACAACCTGTATGCAATTTAAAGCGATTTATAGGGAGTAATGGACAATACAAGTCTTAAAGGAAGTATTTACCCGCACCGTTAATTAAAGAAGTTAATTAATTAATTAATCGTGAAAAATTAGAAAATAATTTCATAATTGACCCTAATAATTATGAGATGGCTTAAATAAGTATGGTAAGTGATTAATCATGCTGAAAGTCGCTTTTCGGACGAAAAGTGCAGATACCGGTTCTGCTACTCAGTATAAATGCGTACCGATGAAGTATACCAGAAAATTATAATAAGTGTGGAAATATTCCTAGAATAATATATAGGACTTGTTAAACAAGTTTCAAGTTAAAATAATGAGAACTGGTGCCAGAACTGATACTGTCGATGTAAAAGCGCGTACCGGAATGATGCTGCAAAAAATAAAATAAAAATATGATAAATCTTAGAAAATTGAGTAGGATCAGATTCCAGAGTTTGGGATTAAAATGCTAAGCGTAGCAATTAGTGCTAATACTGTGTGATTAAGTTTAAACTAGTTATATATAAATAAGGGCACATGATCCTAGGTTATTTGGTGCCTCCTACGTGAATATTTCAGAACTCCAGCTGCTGCCTTCTCCTTGCCACCTTCTCCTCTCTTCATTTGTGAGCCAAGGAGCCACCTTTCTTCATGAAACCTTCACCTAAATACCATTGTTGAGTGAAAGTTGGTCTTGTGAGAGTGTTGAGTGCTTCCTTTTCTGAGTTTGGCCTCTGTGTTGGAAGTCAGAGGGCTGAGTTCTTTGTTAGGAGTGGTGGGAACCATTTCCTTGAGTGTTGATACTCCAAGAAGCAACCTTTGTGAAGAAAGGAGCCATCTTGAAGCTCATTTTCGTGCACTTGGTAATCAGCACTTTGGGAGCTGCATAGTGAGCTCCAAGAGCCTCCCTTGTTCTGTTTTGAGAGCCTTGGGTATGTCCCTAACCTTGATCATGAGCTTTCTTTGTTTAAAGGTGGAGTCTTAGTATGTTTAATGAGTTAAACAAGTAACCAACCAGTATATGAACCTAAATGGGCTTAAAGATGCATGCTTTAACGTGTAGAAGTGTTAAAAGTTGAACCTCTGATGGATAACTTCGCGAAATGCAGAATCTGCATTCTGTCGCGAAATATCCGGATATGATATCCGGATATTGATATCCGGATATGGGGTCTGTTAATATCCGAATATGGATATCCGGATATGCATATCTGGATATGCATTTCCGGATATGATATCCCGATACGGGATATCCGGATATGGCCCCGACATATATCCGGATATTCTGGGTTTTCCAAGAACAGTAGCTGTATTGTTCATACAGAAGGCTGTTATGGGTTTGTGGACCCTAGATTGATGAAGAGGGACTTCTGTAATAATTAATCTAAGTCAGAATCAAGTGATTAAGGGCTTGTGACTTTGTGAGAGGCCTAAAGACATGAAACGTAAAGGAAAGGCGTTCTTTTTTGTCGTTTGCTTGTAGATTTTGAATATTAACACTATTATTGGTCAAAAACATATTGGGATTCTGCTGTGTTTGGGCTTTGAGCTTGGTTGGACTCTTGACTTGGAATTGTTAGCTTGCAAGGTAAGCTTTCGTGTCCTCGGTTTAGCCATTGTGTGGTTCCACCATACCCCAAGGGGTAATGGTTTATATGCATGATGTGTTTACATGCTTTGATAATTGAAAATGCTGTTGAGCTTTATGTGCAAGGGCTTTTAATATGTATGTGTTGTTCCACTTAGACGGTTAGCCTGAGTATGTGGCGTCATACAAGACGGTGACACTGTGGGTGGGTGCAAGTGGCGTCTTGCACTAGTGTGGGTAATAGACGTATTCCTGCATTTCTCTGGCCAGTAGATTAGTTATAACACACATGACATGATTATCTGCTGCATTGCACTATTTTGGAAATTATAATGTTTAACTGTTTTTGGAACTTATATTGCACATGTAAGTGAGCTTGGGGTGGAAGATCCTTGAGGACCATTTGTCTTACTGAGATTTCTGTATAGAGATCTCACCCCACGTTTGAGGCGCTTATTTCAGGTTCAGGTAACCCAAGGGCTGAGACCTCTAGCGACAGGAGGCAGGAGCTTAGTTGATTGACATGTTTGCTGATTATGCTGATGCACCTGCTTAGTGTTTATGTTTTATCCATTATCATGCTGTTTGTATTGAGTCTTGATGAATATGCTGTTTATTTGGTGAGCGTGGGGATTGTCCATGCCACGTTGATTTGATGATGTTAAGTTTTACGAGTGGTATTAATGTATCAGGATGTTGTCCAGACTACGTGTTGTAGATCCGTGACTTAGATACTCACTTATTTATCTATTGAGGTATTTTAGTTAGCTGTCTTTTGCAATTTACATGCAGCGATGTTTTATGAAATTGATTAAGTAATCAACTTGGCTAACTTTAATGACGTCATAATTGAAAAGAAAAATATATTCCGCATATTTAATTAAGCGTGGCTTAATACGATGACATGTTAACAAACCGGGTATGCACGAGGTGTTACATTTTATGGTATCAGAGCACTTTCTAGGGAAAAGCTTGTATGTATTGTAATAACTTAGGATTGTTTGTTGCGAATTTGTCTTGTGTGTTTCCTCTGTTGGGTTTTTCTATGATAATGCATGGGTGACCACATTGCGTGGGTCTGATCAACTCATTCTTTGTGTTAACTTGTGCAGAGTCATGGTAAATCCTAGTAGAAACCGCGAGACGAACGAGGATCGGCCGGATCCTGTCCTGACTGCATTGGCTGAGATGCATGTGGCTAGACTAGCCGATCAGGATGCCACTAGATTGGCCAATGCGGCAATGATGGACGCCGTTCGAGAGGCGCACCGGAAGGCCACCAAAGATGTCCTTGAGGCAAGTAGACTGGCGAACATGACCATGATGAGGTTCATGTTGAAGGAGATGCGGGCTGACCGCAATGAGGGTCAGTTCCCACCGCCACCACCTCCACCGCCACCACCGCCTCCACCTCCACCTTATCTGCAGGACGAGAGCCAGAGCCATGTTGAGGGCACTGGTCACCTTACTGGGGTGATGGAACCCTATGTGGAGCATGCTGAGGATCGCGATGTGTTAGACCGCCGGCTTAATGCTTTCCGCAAGCATAAGCCACCTTCCTTCGATTGGTCTTATGATCCAATTACTGCAGCGAGATGGCTTAAGGCGCTGGACAAGATCTTCCGGGTCATGCAGTGTACTGATCCGTAGAAGCTGATGTTCGCCACATATATGCTGGAGGGCGATGCCCATGAGTGATGGATGAACACCTCTCACGCTTTTGAGATACAGGGTCATGTCATGACATTGCCATTCTTCGAGGATTGCTTTCTGAGTCGGTACTTCCCTTATGATGCGCATGAGAGGAAGCAGGGGGAGTTCGATAGGTTGGTGCAGGGCTCCTTGTCTGTTTACGAGTATCTGGCAAGGTTTATTGACCTGGTGAAATTTGCACACTTTCGGATGGCTATGCCTACTCCGACTTTCTTGGCTGCTAAGTTCCGTAGGGGACTTAGTGAAGAGATAGTTGTTCCACTTGCTGGAGCGGCTTCGAGAGATTTTGGGACACTGGTGCAGCAGTGTCGGGACATCGAGGATGTCTGTATCACGAGTAAAGCCAAGAGGGCCAAGATTGCTGAGACGAAGGGAACGAGTAGTTCCACTTCCTGGAAAGACAGGAAGTTTGCTGGAAAGGGAAAAGGGAAGTAGTTTGCGGTTAGGCAGGCGCCTGGCCAGTTCAAGAGGACTTCTTCGCAGCAGGGAGGTTTTGCTAGGCGTCCTTCCACTCCTAGGTGTTCGGGGTGCGGAAAGAAGCATGCAGGACATTGTGTTGCGGGGCAGCTGATCTGTTTTCATTGTGGCAAGGAGGGCCATTACTCTAGAGATTGTCCATCGTCGACGGCGAGAGCTGCTGCAGTTCAGCAGTTCCACTACAGATGGTTCCCCTTCCACCTACTTCGGCACCTGCAGTGCCACCTACTATTGGACGTGTGTATACGTTGGATCGCCAACAGTCGGACCGAGCTCCGAACCTTGTTAGAGGTACTGTTTCCATTGGTGGATCTTATGTTGATGCATTGTTTGACTCCGGGACTACGCATTCTTTTATTGCTACCCCGATTGCTGTGGGGCTTGAGTTTCCCATGTTTGTGTTTTCTCCACCGTTGCGGGTGACCACCGCCACCGGAGAAAAGTATAGTTCTACCACTGTACATTGAGATGTCGTGTTTCAGTGGGATGGTCGTGACTACTCGGTAGATCTGATTGGATTGCCGATGGCTAATCTGGAAATCATTCTGGGCATGGATTGGTTGTCCAGGAATTGTGTGATGATTGACTGTTGTGTCAAACGAGTGGTAATGTCTCCGTGTGATTCCACAGCCAGTTCCTCGCCATATATTTCATTACTGCAGGCTAGGAGAAACTTGAGAGCAGGGGCATTCTGTTATGTCATGTTGGGAGGTTTGGTGAGTGGGACACATGAGGATATCACTGGCATTTCTGTGGTGGGGGAATTCCTCGATGTGTTTCCTAAGGAGATTCCAGAGTTTCTGCCACAGCGGAAGATAGAATTCTCCATAGACTTGTTGCCTGGTGTGGGGCCTATTTCATTAGCTCCATATCGGATGTCGCCACCGGAGTTGGCGGAGCTGAAGAAGCATATTGAGGATCTTTCAGCGAAAGATTTTATTGATCGAGTGTGTCTCCTTGAGGAGCACCAGTCATCTTTGTGAAGAAGAAAGATGGGACAATGCGATTGGGCACTGACTACAGGCAGCTGAACAAGGTGACAATCAAGAACAAGTATCCCCTTCCGCGTATTGATGATTTGCTGGATCAGCTCAGTGGTGCTTGTGTGTATTCAAAGATTGATCTCCAATCCGGATAACATCATATTCGGGTGAAGCCGAAGGATGTCCCTAAGACCGCGTTTCGTTCGAGATACGGTCACTTTGAGTATTTGGTGATCCCTTTTGGACTCACGAATGCACCCGCAGTGTTCATGGATTACATGAATCGAATTTTCCAGCCGTACCTGGATAAGTTTGTGATTGTCTTCATTGACGATATCTTGATTTACTCCAAGACAGAGGAGGAGCATGCTGAGCACTTGAGGATTGTGTTGCAAGTGCTGAAGGAGAAAAAAACTTTACGCTAAGCCTTCCAAATGTGAGTTTTGGCTCAAGTCTGTGAAGTTTCTTGAGCATGAAATTTCTGCTGAGGGAATTGCAGTGGATCCCAACAAGATTGAAGCTATGCTGGATTAGGAGAGGCCCAAGACGGTTACCGAAGTGAGAGTTTCTTGGGTTTGGCAGGTTACTACAGGAGGTTCATTAAGGGATTCTCCATGATGGTTCTACCATTGACTCGCCTTACCCGGAAGGAGACTCCATTTGTGTGGACTCACGAGTGTGAGGAATGCTTTCAGGAGCTGAAGGAGAGATTGACTATCGCGCCTATGTTGATCCTTCCTGATCCTGATGAGCAGTTTGAGCTTTACTGTGATGCTTCTGGAAAGGGGTTGGGCTGTGTTTTGATGCAAACCGATAGAGTTGTTGCTTATGCTTCGAGGCAGTTGAAGCCTCATCAGGAGAACTACCTGACTCAGGATTTGGAGTTGGCTGCGATTGTTTTTGCTTTCAAGATTTGGAGGCATTATCTATTTGGTATGTATTTTGCTGTGTTCAGTGATTACAAGAGTTTGAAGTACTTGTTTGATCAGAAGGAGCTGAAGATGAGGCAAAGGAGATGGATGTAGTTTCTGAAGGACTACGACTTTGAGTAAAAGTATCATCCTGGCAAGGCCAATGTGGTAGCTGATGCTCTGAGGCAGAAATCCGTGAGTCTATTCAGTTTGTTGATTGGTGACTTTGATGTTATTGAGAAGTTTCGAGACGTGTCGGTGACTTCCTTGTTTGGGGGTGCACTACTCGAGATGAAGACTGTGAGAGTTAAGAATGAGCTTATGGAGAAGATCCAAGATGCGCAAGTGCAGAGAGAGTTCCTGGATTACGTGAAGAACCAAAACGATGTGTCTTGAATGAGGATGGACTTTTGTTGTTCCAGAAGAGGATTGTGGTTCCTCGAGGTCCTTTGACCGAAGAGGTGATGGCAGAAGCCCATAAAGGTCAGTTCACGGTTCACCCTGGTGCTACAAAGATGTATCAGGACTTGAAGCGTAATTTCTAGTGGCCGGGTATGAAGAAGGAAATAGCTGTGTATGTGTCCAAGTGTTTGATTTGCCAGAAGGTGAAGATAGAACACCGGAAGTCATCGGGTAAGCTTCAACCATATGGTAAGTGATTAATAATGCTGAAAGTCGCTTTTGAGACGAAAAGTGCAGATATCAGTTCTGCTACTCGGTATAAATGCGTACCGATGAAGTATCCCGGAAAATTATAATAAGTTTGGGAATATTCCTAGAATAATATATAGGACTTGTAAAACAAGTTTCAAGTTAAAATAATGAGAACTGGTGCCAGAACTGATACTGGCTATGTAAAAGCGCGTACCAAAATGGTGCTGCGAAAAATAAAATAAAAATATGATAAATTTTAGAAAATTGAGTAGGATCAGATTCCAAAGTTTGGGATTAAAATGCTAAGCGTAGCTATTAGTGCTAATACTGTGTGATTAAGTTTAAACTAGCTATATATAAATAAGGGCATATGATCCTAGGTTATTTGGTGCCTCCTACGTGAATATTTCTGAACTTCAGTTGCTGCCTTCTCCTTGCCACCTTCTCCTCTCTTCATTTGTGAGCCAAGGAGCCACCTTTCTTCATAAAACCTTCACCTAAATACCATTGTTGAGTGAGAGTTGGTCACTCCTAGAAAATACCTGTATAGTGATGAAATTGCTATGAAAATTTCGTCGCTAATTTCATCATCACTACTATTTTCCATCGCAAATGATTTTGTGAGGGAATTTGTGACGGAAAGTAGTAGTGACGATGAAATTAGAGACGAAATTTCCATAACAATTCTGTCGCAATACAAATTTTTTCTAGTAGTGGGTCTTGTGAGAGTGTTGAGTGCTTCCTTTTCTGAGTTTGGCCACTGTGTTGGAAGTGAGAGGGCTGAGTTCTTTGTTAGGTGTGGTGGGAACCATTTCCTTAAGTGTTGATGCTCCAAGAAGCAACCTTTGTGAAGAAAGGAGCCATCTTGAAGATCATTTTCGTGCACTTGGTAGTCAGCACTTTGGGAGCTGCATAGTGAGCTCCAAAAGCCTCCCTTATTCTGTTTTGAGAGCCTTAGGTATGTCCCTAACCTTAATCACGAGTTTTCTTTGTTTAAAGGTGGAGTCTTGGTATGTTTAATGAGTTAAACAAGTAACCAACCAGTATATAAACCTAAATGGGCTTAAAGATGCATGCTTTAACGTGTAGAAGTGTTAAAAGTTGAACCTTTGATGGATATCTTCGCGAAATGCAGAATCTGCATTCTGTCGCGAAATATCCGGATATGATATCTGGATATTGATATCCGAATATGGGGTCTGTTAATATCCGAATATGGATATCCAGATATGATATCCGGATATGGCCCCAACATATATTCGGATATTCTGGGTTTTCGAAGAATAGTAGCTTTACTGTTCATACAGAAGGCTGTTATGAGTTTGTGGACCCTAGATTGATGAAGAGGGACTTCTGTAATAATTAATCTAAGTCAGAATCAAGTGATTAAGGGCTTGTGGCTCTGTGAGAGGCCTAAAGACATGAAACGTAAAGGAAAGACGTTGTCTTTTGTCGTTTGCTTGTAGAGTTTGAATATTAATTCTTTATTGGTCCAAAACAGATTGTGATTCTGTTGTGTTTGGGCTTTGAGCTTGGTTGGACTCGTGGCTTGGAATTGTTAGCTTGCAAGGTAAGCTTTCGTGTGCTCGGTTTAGCCATTGTGTGGTTCCACCATACCCGATGGGGGAATGGTTTATATGCATGATGTGTTAACATGCTTTGATAATTGAAAATGTTATTGAGCTTTATGTACAAGGGCTTTTAATATGTATGTGTTGTTCCACTTAGACGGTTAGCCTGAGTATGTGGTGTGATACAAGACGGTGACACTGTGGGTGGATGCAAGTGGCGTCTTGCACTAGTGTGGGTAATAGACGTATTCCTGCATTTTTCTGGCCAGTAAATTAGTTATATCACACATGACATGATTATCTGGTGCATTGCACTATTTTGGAACTTATAATGTTTAACTGTTTTTGGAACTTATATTGCACATGTAAGTGAGCTTGGGGTGGAAGATCCTTGAGGACCCCTTGTCTTACTGAGATTTCTGTTTAGAGATCTCACCCCACGTTTGGGGTGCTTATTTCAGGTCCAGGTAACCCAGGGGCTGAGACCTCTAGCGGCAGGAGGCCGGAGCTTAGTTGATTGACATGTTTGCTGATTATGCTGATGCACCTGCTTAGTGTTTATGTTTTATCCATTATCATGCTGTTTGTATTGAGACTTGATGAATATGCTGTTTATTTGGTGAGCATGGGGATTATCTATGCCACGTTGATTTGACGATGTTAAGTTTTACAAGTGGTATTAATGTATCAGGATGTTGTCCGGACTACGTGTTGTAGATCCGTGACTTAGATACTCACTTATTTATCTATTGATGTATTTCAGTTAGTTGTCTTTTGCAATTTACATGCAGACGATGTTTTATGAAATTGGTTAAGTAATCAACTTGGCTAAGTTTAATGACGTCATAATTGAAAAGAAAAAGATATTTTGCATATTTAATTAAGCGTGGCTTAATACGATGACATGTTAACAACCTGGGTATACACGGGGTGTTACACTATTCATGTTTCTTTGTTCAGCCTGGATCGGTTACAGACAGTGTGAGTACCAACCTTAATTTCTTTGGAAGTTCCATTTTATGCTGAGAATCAATGGCGGAAAACCTTACAGGGTTCTCAAACTGTAAATATAGTTGTAACTAATTGTTCACATTCATGTTTGATACATTTATATATAAGCTAACTTTTTTTATGTTACCTATAGGGAGCTGAAAAACAACCAGCTGACTAGCACTTTGGATATTGGGAGTATTCTCGTACCATTCAACATTCATCCACCCAAGAACAAAAAGGCTTTGGAGGCAGCACAAAAAATAGCAACTAAACATGCAGAGTATATTAACTTCATTTGATAGGACAATAATAATAGAGTAAAGACCCAAATTGGTCCCTGACAAAAAATGCGGTGGCCAAATTAGTCCCTAAGAAAAATAAACTCAAAAAAAAGTCCCCAACAATGTCAAACAGGTCCCACGTTAGTCCTTCTGTCAAATGAAAATTGACGGAGTGAGTGACGGTGCTGATGTGTCACGTTAAGTGACATGCGGTTGCCCACGTGGAGTGGTTGGACGACGTCGTTTGGTACAAACTCAGCCACTTGGACAACCCTTTTTTCAAAAACCCAATTTTGCCCCTCACCTAACCGTTGGACACTTTACCTTTTCCCCCTCTTCTAACATCGACACTTCATCGTTGAGAAGGAAGGAAGAAGACCGTCCATTAAACCCTGGTGCTTGCGTTTAGAATATTGCCAACTTTTTCCAGAATCGAAGGGAACCAGTGGAAGAAAGAAGGGCCATATTTGGATACTTTGTGAGGCTGAGCATTCCGTTGAAAAAGGTATGAGTATTTATAAGTTGAAACTTTTTTATATTGTTGTTTGTCATCCTTTGTTTAATGTTTGTGGTCCCCATGTCGTTCCCCTTTGTTTAATGCTTGTTTTTGTCTGCACGAAGTGGAACTTTGTGGTCCATGTTTCCATTTAGGGTTTCGTTTTAAAAGAAAGTAACAACTAGGTGGTGTGGTCCCTGCCATGGTTGACCCATTTAAAAATATTTAAAAACCCCATGTTAATCGTTGGAATACATGTCTGCATCCATAAAAAAGGTTGCTTTTTTATTGCTTTGTATTGTTTAACACTTTCAAAGTCTGTGGCTTCATGGTTTAATGATAGGATTGGTTTTTTGATTTTGACAAGCATTGCCAATATTTGACAGAATGTACATCTGCCTTGATGCTTGTAAGAAGGGATTCAAAGCTGGATGCAGGCCCTTAATTGGGTTGGATGGATGCTTTCTGAAGGGCTATTATGGAGGTCAATTATTGAGTGCTGTGGGTGAAGATGCAAACAAACAATTTTATGTGATTGCATATGTCGTGGTTGATAGTGAGACGAAGGACAATTGGAAGTGGTTTCTGACATTATTACAGGAAGATTTAGGGGACCATGCAGTATTTGGTTGGAACTTCATCTCGGATCAACATAAGGTAAGGTTTTTTTGGTTGTGCTTCCAATTATTTATTTCATATAGAATTGTCATACTTAATTGTATTTTGGTTGTTAATGAATATTTTGCCATAGTCCTGTTGTTGATGAAGTTGTCCTTAGTAATTCTGTTTGATGATGTTAATGAATATTTTGGATTGCCAAGTTTGTCCTGTTTGTTCTGGTTGCTGTCATTGATGACCATGTAGTATTCTGTTTGCTGTCCTTCGTATGTGTGTTCTGGTATATGTGTTATGTGTTGTTGACATTGCCTTGCTGTTAATGAATATTTGCAAGCAAGCTTCTGCCATTGCCATTGCTGTCATTGATCTTATTGAATAATGTGGATTGTTTACAATTTTTTCATGTCTGTTGCTGCCAATGTCATGCAGCATCTTGTTTCTGAAATCATGTGGTATGTGTGTTGTGTTTGCCTTATCTAATGATGTTTAATAACCTTAACTAGTCCCCCATAAATATCATCGAGGTCCATTTTAATCCTTGTTATTTAACAGAAGGGACCATTTTGGTCCCTAACAATATTATCGGGGGTACAAATTGGTCCCTACAACAGTTCTTTTAATATGGTCACCTAAAAATCCAGCACTGTAAATTCCCCTTATACATGCTAATATTATTCATGCTGATTTGAGATTGTATTTTAATTTTTATTCACTGTCATTCACATACAGGGACTTGTCCCAGCCTTGAAGGAAATTATGCCAGGTTGACACCACAGGTTCTGTGTACAACATGTATGGAAGAACTTCATCAAGCAGTGGAAGGATAAAGAGACAAGAGGAATTGTATTGGAATGTGCTAGATGCACCACTGTTCCCCAATTTGAGAAGGTCATGCAAAGGCTGAAGACTCTAAATGAACCAGCTTGGAAGTATCTTGACAATATACACCCTTCAGCATGGGTTAAAGCCTATTACAGTCACTGGCCTAAATGTGACAACATCACGAATAATATGGTTGAGGTGTGGAATGCAAAGATTGTCAATTATAGGGACAAACCTATAATGACATTGTGTGAGGAATTGAGATGCTACATAATGCGAAGGATGGCAGCACACAAGAGGATTCTACAAACCACCTTTAGGGGTAAGATAGCACCGGCACAACAGAAGAGGCTGGACCAGTTGAAGGTTACAAGCAATTCTTGGACACCAACATGGACTGGAAACTTGGTCCAAGATCTGTATGAAGTTTCTAGAAAGGGTCAACGTGTTGGGATGAATTTAACTCAGCAAACTTGCAGCTGTAATGTGTGGCAGCTGACTGGATTGCTTTGTGAACATGCCATTGCTGCCATTGCACACAAGAATGAACCTGTGGAAAATCATGTTCACCAATGGCTAACAGTGGATGCTTTGCATGCCACTTATGAACACACTCTGAATTGACAATCCTGCTGAACCAAGAGCCAGCAGCCCACCACCATGCAATCCTGCTGAGGCAGTGACCAGTGAGACAGCAGCTGCAGCTAGCAGTGGCACCAGAGCCAGATTCATGAGCTTCATGACTACACCAGGACTTAGGCCACCTAGGCCAGCCCCACATAACTGAACATGAATTGTAATCACTGACATTAGGCCAGTTCGAATGTCTTAGGAGGCATTTTTTTGTTATTAGGCCATTAGCTTGGAATTGTAATTAGGCAAGTTTTTTGGTTTACTTTGGTTTTGGCCCTGTTTAAATTATTCACCAATGGCTTTTTTTTGTATGCCTCTGGTTATGGCCATATTAAGTATGAACACTTTGTTTTTTGGGAATACATAGTGTTCCTACTTAATGGTTTATTATGTCAGTGCCAATTGTAAGTACACAGTCATGATATCAATGAAATATGCTTTATGGATTACTAAATCTCTTATGTCATTACTAGTTTGGAATTGCTGTCATTGATGTGAAATGATTGGAAGATTATGTCAGTTTGGTTACTATCTGTATTCACTGTCATGATTGTTTTCTATACTGTCAAACAGTACTATTTTTTGATTCATTGCTTGTCTTGTTACAATATTTGTATGCTGTGTCATTTTGGGGTCATGTGTAAACATACCTGAATTCTGGGTTCCCTTTTATGCCTTATAAGTCCCCCACAATTTGGGTCGAGGACCATTTTAGTCCCTGTAATTTTTTCCTATTGGACAAATAGGTCCCTAACAAATTCATCGAGACCCAAATTAGTGCCTGTAACACATGACAGTAAGACCAAAGGGGCACCAAAAGCTGTTACCACAGCAGCTCATTCCCCCCTTCTGTTTAATTCCCTCAATCCTTGTTGTTATGGCATTCCCTCAATCCACAGAAGCTCATACAGTCTTTTGACATTTTATTTGGCATTTCAAGATAACTTAATACTTAGCAAATTGTGCTTTATGAACAATCAATTTCAAGGACATTAACCATTTTAAGAACAATCAACATCTCATTACATCCCAACAGTGGTCTTTCCATTACAGAGAAGCATACATATTACAGATTAAAAATGTGCATTTCACTCCACCCTACTACAAAGATATAAACATATTAGAAAGACAATGATAATGGATCAACTAAGCCCACATTTACATAATGGAGCAGCTTTCCTTCTTCCACTACTGAACCCAAACGAACTACCTAAGCTCCCCCTTCCAGAAGACATAATCATGGCATAAACATAAAGTTCAACCCTAAATCGAACAGTATACACCCACCTTCCCTAAACCGTCAATCATTTTTCCTAAACCGTCAATCAATTTTCCCCAAATTCATGCGTTCAACCTTCGATTCGATGCCATGCTTTCTGGTTTGAGTTGAACCCTAGACCCTAAACGACGATGTTTCTTGTATGAAAGAGAACTTTGTGTCCAACGTGGTTGAGCTTACCCAAACGACGTCGTCCAACCACTCCACGTGGGCAACCGCATGTCACTTAACGTGACACATCAGCACCGTCACTCACTCCGTCAATTTTCATTTGACAGAAGGACTAACGTGGGACCTGTTTGACATTGTTGGGGACTTTTTTTTGAGTTTATTTTTCTTAGGGACTAATTTGGCCACCGCTTTTTTTGTCAGAGACCAATTTGGGTCTTTACTCATAATAATATTAAACATACCTAATAGCAATGATATCTACAAAATAGATGCACAAAAACAATTAAAATAATTAATTTAACCAAAAACTTTATCCACTCATTCCCATTTAACTTTATCCCCTCTTCATTTGTTATCCACATAATCTCATTGTCATTTACACAAACACTTTGCGCGCATATTCACATCTCACGTAAAGAAGAGTTCAATGTTTGATTCAGCCTTAAGCTTTTTTTCTAAAAATGAGATCTAAAAATCCAATTATTGCATATTCGCCTTCATCAAATCTAAAAAACACAAAATGATAAAAAAAAAAAATAGAAAAAAATAGAAATAGTAAAATCTATAAAAAGAAAAACAGATACCTGATTTGGAGATATCAGATTAAAATGGCACAACAAACCACGCTTACTATTATAAGGAATCTCTTAGTCTATAAAAGTAACGATGATGCTTGAGATGAAAGCGCGAAGAAGAAGAGCAACTATGTTGTTAGTTCCCTATCAGAAATAAAAATGTCAAGTAGCAGATATAACGTGAAATAGATGAAAATGTCATCATCCTCAATAAAAAGATAAGAAAATACCTTAGTGCAGACACCATTAGTCTAATGAGGAAATATGCTTACGAGATAGAACGAGAAGAAAGAAGCGTTAGGGAGTTGCAACTTAACAAAGTCATAATTTGTGGCGGTCATCAAATAAAACCGATAAAATACTCAAATTTTTTAAAAATAATTATAAATTTTGGGGGTCAAAACCCGCCACTAAACTATATAAATTAACGTAAAAGAATTATGCAAAGTGGCATTTTGTAAACATGCCAGAATTTATATTTTCTGGGGGTTTTATAAACCTCCAGTAAATAACCTCCACAAATCACATAATTATTTGTAGTGTATGGAAATAATCAATGTTATTATTATTGTTTTAATTCTTACTTGTCTTCATAATATATTTTCATTGTGTAATTTATAAATTTGTAGTGTTGTTATGATCAATTATTTTGTCATAAAAATACAAAAAAAAAATTAAACTTTGTTTTAATCCACGCAATAATTTATAACGTTGATGTATGATTTTCCATTCTCAAGTGTTATATACTTATCATATGGGTTTTCGTATAGTTGATCTATCTTACACTTTTGCAAATGTGGATTCTTTTTCAAATAAAATTATTTTTTCTCAAAATTAAAAAATCAAAATATTTCTTCTATTTATTAAAAAAATGTGTTTTATTCAATATCCTAGGAGCGATATATGACATTGTTGTGTGGCTAGCCATCCTCAACTGTCATAAACTTCGTTAAAGCTTACGTATAGCTTTGTTGTCTTAAACTCTATGCAATAACGGATTCATTTAAAAAAATATACAAATCATTTTCTTTCGAAAATTAACCAATACACAAATATTTTTTACATAACGACGTACCTTTAAGTTTCCTATTACACTGAGGAATATATAGGAGCAGGACCCTTCCCGTCAAGCCCAAAAATAAAATTATCAAAAATTAGTTTTCTTTAATCATTTTTGTTTAATTTTTTGGGATGAAATAAATCAATAAATTACACAATTAATTTAAGGTCTCCATTTTTTAAAAATAGACGACGTAAGGTTCTAACATCTTCCCTACTCATAATCGACTCCCGAACCTGTTTCTATTTTCAAAGATCAGTTTTCTTAAACAAAAAGAGTTTTTCCAATATTTTCCCAAATAAACTTTGTTGACGACTCCATTGTTTTTAATTTTTAATTTTTTCGCCTCATGTTGTGATCCAGTTGCTATAACATATAAATGAAAAGGCCCATAAACCTAATTCCTTAAGATTTTGGATTGAGATATGGTGTCAGACCCTTATTATGGGTTTGTCGCTTAGACCCATTTGATGCGTGGATGATAGTCTCCCCTAATTGGACTTCCCTGACTGCTGCCCAACATACCTTGATTTTTTAAAGGAAATAAATCCGCAAAAGTAATGCAAACTATTCTTTTTATTTTTGGTGGACAATGCAAACTCTTCTATTTGTATGGAAAAAGTTGTTCTATGGATGAATGATGATTTTGTCCTCCAATTATTTTTCCCTTTTTCAAAATTATATGCTAATATGTTCTTTTCTCAAATTATATTTCAATCTAATCCTATTTAATCAGAGCTTAATGATTTATTCAAGTAAATGATTTATTTATTCAAGTAAGTGCCGAACAAACTTTGGTCAAATAAAGACAAATCAGTATTTAATTTTAAAAATAGGTTGATTGATATATAGTTTGATATGAAATCTTTACCCCTCTTTGTTGTTTCTTTCTATTCAAGTATGAGCTAAATTGTTAGGATTAGATGATAGAGTACCCATATTGTGATGTAATTAGTTTGCCTAAACTTTGCTATATGATTGTCCATTTAGTTGTTTAATAAAGTACTTAAATTATCTCTAATCTTGTTGACTTATCGAGAGAAGGTTGCAAGATAATTAGGGTTTAGGCTATAGAGATATAGGTGAACCCAGCAAGTTATTAGATATTGTGGTTTAACTAATTTAATTGGTTGATTGTGGATAGAGAGATTATTCACACCACAAAATCATATGGAACTTGAACTTAATGGATTCATAACTATGTTGGCCATAGAGACATGGGAACTAGTATACATGTATTATTGGTGAGAGCCCTTACATGCATTTGTGTTCTAATTACTGATTGGATAATTGCTATAGCATTGTTGCTGCATTCTGATGAAATTGCAATATTGGAGAAATTGATCTCACTCTACTTTGTTACTTGACTTCTCCGTTCTTGAGTGCATTCTTAGTTTACTTTTATTTTACTTTTAGTAATTAGTCAGTAGTTAGTATTAGTTTAGTCCTTAGTTCTTAATTCACAAAACTTTTATAAATATTGTTACTTTTATTCCTACACATTGATCCCCACTTTATAGTTTTCTTCGTGGAAACGATATCTGGACTCACACATCCACTTTATTACTTGTTGACACGTGCACTTGCGTTAATGTGTGATTGATAAAAAGGTTACACAATTGCACAACAGTAGGCACTCTCTCACTTTCAAGGAGATGACCTTACCTCAGCCTCTGCAACCAAGTGAAGACTTAAAAGGCTAATGACTATAAGTATAGAATATATATGGGTTCCAAGAAATTCTATACCTGAGCCGAATAAGCTTTAGGTTTCTTGGACTCTTTTTACACACTAGGCCCTATTGGACTTTAGTGAAAGAGCAAAATTCAACAATATATACTATAGAATGTAGATTGAAATGAAACAAAATGTTACTCTATATCTATTCTAGTTCTGATTAAGAGTA